TTTTAATTTGAAGTTAGTTCATAAGATTTATATGAAATTATTTTTTCTTCCTTAAAAACCGAATTACGATTGAATTCTAATGAAGATTGTCACAGATTTAGTGCAAGTAATCGATTTGCAACAACGATGAAATTGTTCAAAGAACAAAGTTTGATGGCTGAACATGGATTGCTACTTACTTTTAATATTTAAGGCTCATTTCGATCGGAATGAATTGATAACCAAAACAAACTGTTTAAACTAACACACGAAAATTCTTGTAGAGCCGAATTTCGAGGAAATAAGTAATTTTTCTCCAGACATATACCAAAAACGATGGAAAATTAATATAACCTGATTGTTTGGTTCTGTTCCAGTTTGATGTTTGACATTTCAATTTGTACACACAGTCAAATGAGCGAACTTCACACGGACAAGTTGCAATTTACGATGAATGAAGTTGTGCGTGTATGTGTGATTCACAAATGAGTCGCAGAACTGTGATATTGCCTCACATCTGTCACATGAACACAGCTGAATAGCTGTGATTTCCTTGTTATTTCATTATTTTTCGGGGATCAATCAAAGGATGCTACATTTTTATATGAACATATTCAATGGAATTTGAGTATAGTATTCTGTAAGCCAAATTGCTGATTTTTTCATTTTAGTTATTCATCTGCCAAAACGCTATTCAGATCGCGTCAAAATGAATGGAATAATTCGTCAAATATTAACATTGAAAAAAGGATGAAAAAAATTGAAAAATGCCCAGAAAGTCACGATTTATGTTTCAGATGATCTTTTTGTTGCCAACAAATGGATCGCCATGCGTGAAGATTTGAATCTGAATTTAGTAGAAATCAAACGATTGAACTCATACCGATGGGATCGTTATCACACTTTGTGATGGATTCAACACCCTGACACAAAGCAATACTGCCGTTTATACCAGTGTCGAGTTAACTATAGAGACGGTTAAGACAGTTGCCTCAGGGCACCACGCATTTGGGTGCACCACAAAGAGAGCAAATGAAAAAAAATGTTAGGAAAAGTCCACGAATATGAATTTTTGATGCCCCAAGGAGCTGTGCCTAAAAATTGTGATGCTCTGAAAAGTCTTTTATGGTGCCCCAAAAAGTGCGGTTTTTCAAAAAAATCTTGCTCGCTACCGCTCGCATTTAAAATATAAACCACAACATTTTGCTAATAGCAACCAAAATTATTATTTGAATGAAACGTTTGAAACAAAGGTAAAATTGCAACTAGTTTTTCGAAAAAAAATTCAAAGGGCACCAAAAAAAATTTGCCTCAGGGCACCGCGAAACATTAACTCGGCACTGGTTTATACCAACCAATTCTCCTTAATACTGATTCATGCACTATAATAAACTATAAAATGCAATCAATAAAAAGAATGATTGTACTATCGATTAATAAAACTCACAAAAAGACCCAACAAAAGTATAAACTTTTATTATTTTACTTCGAAAATGTGAACATGAAAATCTATTCGAAATTCAAGTAGTTATGTCATTCAGCGGTCAATTATTTTAATTTAAGGACCTAAGATTTGATGTATACGATTTCAATAGACGAAATCACAATTTGTCACCGTTTTCAAACGTTCAACCGATAAACCAGCGACCAGTCCAGTCAAAGTGTTATCAGAATCCATTTTTGTATCTGATTGGAATCGAATTTCAACATCCGGCTCAAGACGAAGCAGCGGCTTGAGTGTATTGAATGCGTAATGTACTGGTGGTGCCTCTTGCTGCAAACATATTTCGTACTTGATTCCAGGTTTGATGAGGATTGATGATGGTAAGTCGACTTGATTTTCTGCATCGGAAGTTAGCGTTGTTTCCCCATTGAAGAGAATTTCAGAAGAATTTTCTTTTTTAGTGTGATCGTGATATTTCTTTGTGATTGTTACTTTTGAAGCAGGAAGGTCTGCTTTAAACAGATGGCCATCTTCTGTGTCATATTCGTAAATTTTGCCACACGAAAATCCTTTCAATAACAATGGCTTGCTCGATGAAATTGTTGTAGTTTCGATGTTTTTGATAAGGAAACTATCCCGTATTATGCGATTGCATTCGATGGTAACATCTTCATTAGATTCAATGGATTCACCTGAAGGAAACTTCTTGACGAATTTTTTTGGTTGAAATTCCGTTGAAGCGATCATTCGAATAAGTTCAAGAAAATCATTCCTTTCGAATAATTCATACGGCTATAGCCCAAGCCATACACGCATTGAACACTTCTCTTTTTGAGCAGTTTAATGTGTGCAATTTCAAAATGTGACAAAGTACTTTTTGGTCACATTCTAAAAAGCCATCCGATTGAAGTACAGCTGAAGTTTCAGTTTCGATAATCGTATTGCAATACCCTATTAGGTCGTTGCTAAAATGGCAAAATGTATGAAGTTTATAGAACAAACCTAATCCTTTTATTCGTATTATTATTCACTGGAAATTTCCTTATGTTTTCGATAAATAAAGGTCACAAATAAAGTTTAGAATAATTATTTGGTGAACAATTATTTTATTTAAGAAAAAAATTTGTATTTGATGTACATCGATATGGATTTTAGGTTAATTTGGTGTATTGAGGTAATTTCTTTATTAGGAATTTAGCAGTCTAACGACGTTATAACATCATGGAATTTTGATGTGATGCGTTCTCAATGTTGGAGATTCCATCAATCGGCTAAATCACAATTCATCACCGTTTGTAAACGTTCAACCGATAAACCAGTGACCAGTCCAGTGGCAGTGTTGTCATAACCCAATTTGGCATCTGAGTGGAATCGAATTTCGACATCCGGCCCAAGATGAAGTACCGGTTTGAGTGTATTAAAAGTGTAACTGGATGGTGGCACCTCTTGCTGCAAACAAATCTCATACTTAATTCCGGGTTTGATGAGGATTGGTGATGGTAAGTCAACTTGATTTGTTCCATGGGTCACCAATGTTTTTTCCCCATTGAAGAGAATTTCAGAAGACTTTTCTATCTGAGATTGATCATCGCGACATTTCTTTGTGATTGTTATTTTCGATATAGGAAAGTCCACTATGTAATAAGCCCACTTTTCCTTATCGAAAATGTATACATTGGCAAATGAAATACCTTTTAATAAAAATGGCTTGTTCGATGAAAATGTGGTGGTCTCGATGTTTTTGATGAGGAAGCTATCTGTTACTACGCGACTGCGTTTGATGGTCTGATGAGTGGGTCCTTGTGCTGCGGCCTTTTTTACGAATTTTGTTGGTCGAAATTCGGATGAAGCGACCATTTGAATGACTTCAACCAAATCCTCATTTGCAAATAATGTGGCAATGGGCGGAATAAAATTAAAGAAATTCGCCTGAGTAATTGAAGAGAATGGCATTTCATAGAATGCTTGACCCAGTTGATCTCGTACGTTTTGCGGTTGATCGTCATCCAAGCCTTTCCGTTGGCACGCGGCTTTTGCCCAAGCGATGCATGCTTTAAGAACATCTATGTTTGAGCCACTTAACGGATCCAATTTCAAAATGTGGCGAAGTACTTTTTGGTCACATTCTAAGAAGCACTTTGATTGGAGTACAGTTGAAAATTTGGATTTGGCAAGCGTGTCGCAAAACTCCATCAATTCTTTACACTTGAATAGAACAGCTAGCTCATAGGCCCAACACACGGTGTCTGCCGTCAAATTTTGCATCAAAAATGTTGAACACGCATCCAAACATTCAGTGACTTCGTATTTTTCGCCAAGATACATGACACCAGGGACATGTTCCATTGTAAATGTTACGTCCAACAAGTAAAAAAATTGTAAAAACTCCTTGAATGCCTCGAACGATACATCGACAATTTCAACTTCACGCAGAAATGTGCAAATTGGAATGTGATTGCAAATGTCATCTCTGTTTATGTATTTCTTATTCGCAATTCGATGATAAACAATATCAAGCCTCATATTTCTGTCAAAATAGCAAAGTTTTGTTCTATTTTTCTCACTAGTGCATTTTTTAAAAAGTTTTCATGGTAATACTTACTACATTTTTATACAAAAAATCATTAATCAATGGAATTTGTGTATTTCAGTTAAATTTTCCAAACACTTTTACAATTGTTAATTTTTATTCTAGCAAATCATCTGGAAGAACGCTAATTTTGTTTGGTTTGCCTAAGTGCTTTGGCAACAATCGACTGAAATGGGTGGAATCTTAGGGAAAATTGTTGTTGGAATACCAACCAAGGAGCAAAAGCAAGACGGCGATCGCAGTCAATCTCATCCCATTGACCGAATTGGCGAATCTCCTCGTCTTTTCAAGTTGGACATCGTTTGTTTTAATGAGCTATTGGATTATTTGTCAACAAAAGATTTGCTTGCCCTCAGTCAAACCTGCAAGACGATGCAACAAGTCGTTGGTGTCTATGTCAATGAGAATCACTC